CTCTTCCCCGTTCATTTTTCCGTTCGTTCGGTCTCGTCTTCATTCGTTTCCGAGTCCATTCTCTCCCCTGCACAGACACACATACACACATAGACTATTTTTCTTCTTTACTCTTATTCTTTCTAACTGCTTTTTCGTTGAACTTTTCCCTTTTTTTTTTCAAACTTTCTCACGTTCTTTTCGCTCGCGTGGGCAAATCACTGATAGCCCTTCTCGTTCCGCCCCATCGAAAATTTGTCCTGTTTGTCCCTTATATGTCACTATTTTCTTACCGGCCCTGCTGGGTTCTCACCAACTCAAATGATGACGTTCAACAAGAGGGTCCAGGGATTCGATTCGAGTTCTGCCTCCCCAATCATGACCCTCACTTGACTCGACTCTTTCCCTAGATCCACACAGCCATATTACGTCAGTCAGAGAAGCATCGTTTTCCGTCTATTTCCATCCCTGAACTTTGCTTTCCTTTACCCTATGGGACCCAAGGGTCCCCAGTGACGCAAACCTCTTCGATTGTGTGTTTACCCTCATCCTTTTCTCATATTTTTCTTTCTTTATGTATATCCCAAGTCCTCTCTTCCTTCAAGCGTATTCCCATAGTTTTATCCTTTACTCACTTGATTTTTTTCAAGTCTCTAAATTCTCCCCTTCATTCAGTCATCACCATTGCTAGCATCATCATAGTCGATTATACGCATCATCATCGTCGTCATTATTATTATTATTTTCATCATCACCATCAGCAACAGCATCATTCATCAATTACCGACCAAAGATTTGCTTGTTTTCGCCAAGCCTCTGTCAGGATTCAAATAGCGTTCAATTGATAGGTAGCCGGTCAAGCTACCTGTTCGCCTATCCTTTCTCTCTCTCTGTATTGTTTCCCGTGTGCTCTATTTTGTGTTAATAGTATATCATATTTGTATCCGGCTGTGTCCGTTCTGTTTGTCTGTCATCGATTAGTAATAGTGGGTCGCATACAACTTATATCAGGCTATTCCGGCATGCAACTTGTATCTTTATGCAATCAGTGTACGATGCCTCTGGTGTCCTTTTAGCTTTCGCTACTCGAACTTGTCAGCTGAAATTAGAGTTCAAGGTAGCTTTCAAAAACTTTTCTGCATAGAGGACTGCTTATTTTTAGCGGACCAGTCTTAGTACAGAGCACAATCCACGTACGCCGCCAGTGTGACCCTCAAGACTGATCAACCCTGACCGCAGTGAAATCATGCAAGTGGAACCACATTCCAAATTGTTGTCGTGTGTATAGACGCCTGGAGTGAAACCATGAAGGCGACCTAAGCAGAACAGCAAATACAAATCCTTCTTCTAATTGTTTTCTGTTGGATGCTTACCCAGATACCGTCACGCTCGTCATTTTCGGTTAAGCTTGTAGCACAGGTAACTTGAGTGTAAGGCCTGCCCACAACTGTGCAGCGTAATCCGCCTAGGGCCCAGGGGGCCACTTTAAATACTGCACGACATCCTCACTTGCTGCTTGTTCTTTCCGATTAACTTAGCCGAACCGGCATTGACTCATTGGCCTTATCGTGCTGTAACATCGTCATACGAGAAGTGGAAAGCTGTTCGAGACGAGTTCATTCGCGTGCAAAGGAATACAAAGCGCTTACGCGTGTGTTTGTGTATGCACCCCAGAACCCATGGCACCAGGTTATCAACTAAAGTCTCAGCTCTTTTGTTCTTTACACTTGCTGAACGTTTTCTGCAAGTCTTGCGGCTGGTCCACTTTTAGCAGTGTCCAATCAGTCTGTGATTTTCTAGATCAATATAAATCGCCTTAACGAATGGTGAGTTCCCTAGATGAGGGTAGTTCAGAGTATGATCATAGACATCAGCCATGCAATGCGAGACTTATTCACACAACGTTTGCGTTCTGCCATTTCGCGATCCACCAAGCAATAGCTCCCGACTGGGAGCAACTATGTCGTATACTGGAGCCTCTATTGTTTTGTTGTTGTTCTAGGTAAAATTACAGTTATTATATAGTTGTTACTCTTCTTGTGGTGACTAATCTGAGTTTACTTTTACTACTATCGGCATATTATTATTTTTCATGTTGGTGTTAGAAGTTCTATGTTTATTTTCCGTTAAGATTGCTGCTTGTTTGGCGACAGATGGCTGAGGCAGGCGCTTGGCTAGATGCCCATAATTCCACAGGCTAACTTCACTTGCTCATACCATTCTGTCTGCCGCCCACTCGATGCGTTGCTTCGACCCAACTAATACCAACGTTGTTATTATTATTTTTTAGTAAATCATACCGATGCATTGTTTCGTTTCCTTCGTCATATATATATTTTCCCTATCTGCGTTATTTGTGTGTGCGTGTATTACCAACTTCTGTCTGTACGTCTTCTCCTTTCTCTATCGTTTATAATCATTCATTCACTTTCGTATAGACTTAGTTTTTTTTTCTCTCTTAGTAGTATTATTGTTATTATTAGTATTAGTAGTAATGTAATAATGGTAATAGCAGTTGTTGCAGTAACGGTTGCTGTTCGCATTACTATATCATCTCTCTCTGTTCTTCACTTGACTAGCTTGTTGCGGGTAGGGCTGAAAAGTTCCCGGGCGGGCGGGCGGGGCGGGGGGGTGGTCAGGTCTGAGGTCCTTGAGCATCAAAGAACAAGGTCAACCTCGTCGACATCTAACTTGCTTTCTTTCTATTATCTGCTGCCAGGCCGCTCAGAGCCAAAGTGAGCGGGAGCGCCGAAAGCAAACGAAAATTTTGTTGAGTTTACATCCACATGGACGCGTTTTCTCTACAATTTATCATCGGTATCATTAAAACAGTCAAATCTATATATATATATATATATATTTATCGATCATCCGGCGGCGATCATCATCATCATCATTGTTATTTTCGTCATAATCATTATGTTAGGTTCATTATATTTGCTTCAATTCAGTTGCACTTCTCTAAAACAGGCTACGCATCCTAGGATACACTTGTTTCCTCTTTCTGTCTCGTTCTCCCCTTCATCATGATCGTATTCGATCGACCAGGGTCGCTGTTTAGCGTCCCCGGCTAGCGAATACATGCATGCATAATCATACAGTAGGATACATACACATTCCTGCATGACTCATATAGCCGGTCGATCGTTTTAAAAGCACACAATGTGGTTTGAGTGTGTGGAGTTTGTATGTATTCATGTGCCTGTGTGTATATGCTGCTTGCAAATTTTGTCTGTTGTTGTTATAAAACCTATATTTTCAACTATTTTTTCTAGTGCTGTCTTTTTGCCTTGTGCTTGCTCATTTTCTCTGCTTTTTTAGCATTCAAGTATGACAGATAGCAACAATAGTGATAGTGACGATAATCAAATTATATCACTAACTGTAATTTAATCATAATTCGGATCCTGATCGATTATCAGGCGCTTATCTTGTTCAGTGTTGTTCTGATGTAAGTTGGCAATATTCTTTGTTTTTTTTTCGCCTTTCTAGCATGCGATTACCAAATCACGCATCGTCTGAAATTCTGTTTAGCTTCTCCTACAAGAAATGACTTCCTTTCGATGTCTGTTGAACAGAGTGGTAATTTGTAGCGATCTTCCAGTACCTTATTCAGATCACTTCTATCCGCATCCCAAACAGATGTTTCCTGAGCTTAGGCTGGCCGAACCTTCCATTTAAGGGCGCCTGTTTTCCGGATTGGCCACTGTAAGCCAAACGTGCGACTCCTCTGTCCTTGCGCGACTCGTATCAATTATAAATTGTTGTTACCGGGTTCTGTCATGAATTAAAAACTTTTTTGCTCCGAAATACAGAGGCGGGAACGATATAAGAGCCTCAGCATAAACTAACAATACCCTCGTCAAAAATCACTCTGTTTTTCAGCTTCCGCGTATTCTACGCATTTTTTGTTAACTTCGTATTTTATTAATCTAATTTTTGTTTTTGGTAAGTTCTGTGCTGTCGGATCTTCGAAGACTTACGCGATGGCGGTCAGAACGGCAGTCTCTGTTTATCATTACCTAGAATAAATATCTAGACGTATCTATATATATATATATATATATATATATATATATATGTTCCTGTGAGTACTAAAATGAACCTGTTCCGGGCTAGTAGATAACCGCGATTCCCGTTTGTAAAGAAAGTCATTATTACATAATCCAAAATGCAGCAAACTAAGTGACTACGTGGTATATGTATAATGTAATGTTTGTGTGTGATTACGCCAAGCTATAAAACTAGTTAGCTTCAAGATGAACTCCTAGCTCAAGTCTTATATCGCTTTCGCCTGGTTGCCATTGCTCCGTATTATTGCAACTAAATGGTATAATCACCCTAATAAGAAAGGTGAACAAACATAAAAATAACCGGACCAAAGATATGCTGCCAAAATCCGCCCGTGTTCGAGTCCAAGCTGACCAATGTCTTTGTTGAGTGCGCTTATTATCTCATCATCGTTATTATCACTATTACAGCCACCACCATTATCCGTTTCTTGCTTTTCGTATTGAAAATTTGCGTTGCGTTGTAACTGACTGCTTTCCATGTTTTTTTTCTGCCAGTGGGTTCATATAATAGGTTTATGATTGCGTCTTATGAATTTCTCGTCTGCTTCTTCAACCCACTCCCCGGGGTCTATGTCATCGATCTATTTGTCTATTGCTACGCGTGTAATCGTTATTTATATCTGTGTGTCTGTAAACGTGTCTATGTGAATGAACCTGTTCATCGTCACTCGATTCGCTACAAGCAGCTTCATCGCAGTTTTACGCTTCATTGTCCTTATCATCGTAACCATTATAGTTTTGTCCAAATCATTTGATTACGTTTATGGCTTCTGTGTATATATGTATTCTAGCCTATATCTGTCTTATTCACGTTTCTCGCCAACCTTGCTCTCTCTCTCTTTCTCTCTCTCTTTCTCTCTCTCTCTCTCTCTCTCTCTTTCTCTCTCTCTCTTTCTCTCTCTCTCTCTCTCTCTCTCTCTCTCTTTCTCTCTCTCTCTCGCTCGCTCGCTCTGGCTCTCTCTCTCTTTCTCTCTCTATATATATATATATATATATACTTTCCGCAACATGGCAGCCCCTGCTCTCTGTTTTTCCTTGCGACTCGTTCTGCTAGCGTCAACATGTATATATTTATAATAATAATAGGCCCAATACGCGTGGCGCAGATATAGGCAAACTGCAATCTCCGAAGTGTATCGGTCAATCGCTTTGCGGATACGCGACTGGCAGATGTCGTACGTACATAAATACATGTATATAAATATTTATGTATATATGACCTACTACGGAAATTCTATTGAATATACCACAGTTTTAACACGACGCCTGGGCCTATCTATATAATATGTGCTCTCTTCGGCGAGTGCGGGACTAGAGCAGTTCGTATTGGCGCAGATGCATCCTCTGAATAATGTCCCGGCAGTCGTTGAACACTCTTCGAATATTTTCCGTGTCAACTGCACACGTAAAATGGGGATAGCAGTAATGCTTACCGTCGCCCGACGCTGTGCTGATCCGCTGCGATACGATAGAAGAATATCGATAAAAAATGAATTATCAAAAGCTTGTAGATACATCGAGATGTAGCAAGGGTGAGCATCGAAAAGGAGCGTTAGGCTTAGATCATGTACAAACAGAATAAATAGTATTTTGTTTGTTGAATTGCACCCCAGTCTAAAAAGACACTGATCCATGTTACGAGTGGCTTGAATGAAAATCTAGAAATTGGAATTGTTGCCAGGATTATCAGAGAATGCGTATAGTGGAGAAGATATTGTTTTTTTACTAAGCTAGAAACTAATAACACTCAAAGTGCCTCGTGTCAAGTGTGAGAGATAATCTAATGCTTTCATACCTTACGTCAATTTACAGTGTTAGCAAAATCTAAAATTAAGATGTAAGGAAAATAATAACAAGCAACACTTACAAGGAACTCATCGCGAATAAAGTATTTTGCCCTTATTACTTCGGGGTCCTCCCCACTATCCGTGATAGCTGGAATAAAAGCACAAAACAATTTTTTTACCATATATAATAAGGCCTTGTTCCAATAACTACGGAAACCAAACACATCTAAGCTATAATAGTGTAGTACATAATGTATGTGCAAACCAGATCCATCGTTCGGCTGATTTCTGCTGCGATACTTCGCCATATTGGACTACTTCGTAATTCTTCAAGTAAATATGGAAATAACGATTATAAAAATCATCGCACGTACCACCCTAAAAGTTACTATGAGGTATCGATTTATTTGCCTTGCTCATAGACGTTTTCCACAATGAGCTTTTACCTGATAACGCACTTGTGATTCGCCATGAGAAAAACTGCTTTGTTTTTATATAAAACAAAAACTTTATTCGACCTGTATTCATACCATCGGCCGGCGTTTGGTAATTGGCGAACTCGGGAAAGTAGTCCTCTAGTTTTGATTTCTGTGCCTTTATTTTCTCAGCCAGTAGATCTTGCTTATTCAAAAACAATATTACCGATATCGTCCGAAGCCATCTGAAAAAGTTGCAACGTAATAATATTACGTCACAGTTTCGCCTACCAATTAATTTGTAAATTATTCACACCTGTAAATTTTTCTCTTTCGAGAATTCTTTTATTGGCCTATTACCTGAGCGGCCGACCTACCTAACTACCTTTGAATATAACCTATATACAACGAACCTACGACCGGTATTAATCCTCTGCGAGCTGGTACTAAATTTACTCAACACTTATTGTCATGGACGCAATTAGTTGCACTTTATTTACCGGTTATTCCAGATAGACTTGAATAGGTCTAAACTTTCTCGTAAGCGGTTTTGGTTTGGATCTTCTCGCAAAACCATATTGTACGACGAGCAGGCCGTAACAAAGATGATGGCAGTCACGTCGTTAAAACATTGAATCCATTTACGACGTTCGTCTCGTTGCCCGCCTACATCAAACATATGGAAGTTCACCTTGTCCACCTAAAAAGTAAGGCGAAGGAATATCGTCAAGTAGGTAAGCCATTTGCATTATGAACTAATTCATCCTTTAGATGGATAGCATTCAAAAGTAGGACGGTTTTTTCTAAAACGAAGGAGCCCAGCAATGAGAAATTGAAATACCACACTTGACTTATTAATCAATTAAGTTACATTACGCCGAACTTTGAAATTCGTGAATAAGTTTTAATGCCTTAGGCCTAATAAGATATCCTAAATTCTGGTACTATGCAAAGGATTTTTTCAGCTCATATATGTGTATTTTGCTGCTGTTCTTTTTTTTTCCTAAAATCGGCTTAGAGCCCATTTTTAAGTCTTTCGCTTTTGATGTTAATACATTCTAAAACTTGCTTTAAAACAAGATACATGCACTTTAAAGTGAAAATTCGAAATAAAGTTTTACGATCGCAGCGAAGCAATGACGATGGAAGGGCAAAGCGAAAGCTTTTCAACGGTTTATAACAGTTGGGTATTATCAAATAAACCATTGGAAAAGTGAACGAGAACGACACAGACTACACTCGTCGAGCAAGTGCTACGGCTCAATAATATTAGACCGAACGTTTTCGTCGGAACCAATACGAGTGGTGCTAATCGGTGGGCATTCAGAACCCAACATGAGGCTTTTTGTCTCGACAAAAAAAAACGTTTTTTAGGGCGGCTTAGTTCAGATATATGTAAGGACAATCACAGAGTTATACAAAACTAGCATGTATCGCTAACCTGGAATTTAGTCTCAAAGATACCGGACGTGAGCACCCGACAGCGTAGGATGTCTTGCTCGTTTGGTGTGTAATCTGCCTGTTTAATGGCTGACACTCTGTAAGAAAAAATAAGACAATAAAAACGACTTCCTTACATAATAAAAGTAATAACGATAATAATAATAATAATTGTTATTTTAGAAGAGCGTTACCGTTTTCCCGTCAACGTCCGTTTTTATATTTCAGACTATCTCACTTACGGAAATTCTACCTACCCGTAGTAATCATATTGGCCGGATCAGATAGCCATTGCCCCTTTCTTCTATGGTCCCAGGATTCGATAATTTATTGGTACAAGAATAACAGTATGCTATAGAGGCTTTGTCATTTCAAATATGGTCGCTTTCTTACGTCTAGCATAAAGCCTAAATGTTATCAAGTCATTGCTTCACCCTCGTTTATCTATTTTTCGAATTTTTTGGTCCAGAACCGCGTTCCGTCGCAAACCTCTTTAGCCAAGCTTCATTTGAGCTGTTTTCGTCCGTCGAGCGCTATTAACTTTCTAACAGAGAAAAAGCCTTTTCCTCTGGGAAGCAGTATTTTTAATCATTTCTGTTAACTGAGTTGACCTATTACGTGTAAAGAATGTAAAAAAATTGCTTTTACGCAGCAACATCCAAAGACACAGGGTGGTTTTCGCACATAACGTACTCCGGCTGAACCACTACCGAAATTCGAAAAGTCACTAACTTACCTATCGAGAAAGTACTTGGCGCAGTCGATGAGTTGGTACTCGTTGGATCTCTCGAACGCCGCAATAACCCCTCGGTCTTTCCAAAGGATTTCCGTGTGTTCGTAAAACTCCTGCAAAATTCAGTCAAGTGTTAGACCGTGTTTAGCATAAATTAAAGTTCCACGGGAAAAGACCGCTTTATTTATAAAACGTGCATTTTTCTAAACTTATAATCACGTCAGAGCATACGGAGAAAAAAAAAGCATCAAAATCATCCCTTAAATCGACAGGATAACTTTTCCATTTTATGTTTGTCTGTATCATATATCTGCACCAAATTTTGATTAAGAATGTGGCAGATCGACTGTCTTGTCTGTTACATCTAGAGCACCAACACAATCGGCCAATCTTCAAAGCACCGTCCGGTATCAAGTGATTAAGTGTCGCAGTTCGATGGAGCATCGGTCAATCAGCCGCCTGTATGGGCAACCATGTTTCTTTTAAGGTGCAATGTATACATATGCTTGGTTCCATCTACTAAGAATGAATGGGTGGTAATGTTTCTTGCGAATGGCCCCGACACGACAGAGTCGTGATGGTTCTTCATGAGCTTATCTAGGTTTGTCTAGGCAGCCACATGTAGATCATTGGCATCTGTTGGTCAATGGTATATTTAGACTCGACAAGGAAGAATGAACGCCATAAGGCTTGGCTTTTTCGCGTGTGACTTATGACGACGAACGGGTTACAACTGTTAGCGAACTGCGTAAACAGTGCCTTTGCGACCTTGCACCCATTACCGAATAGAATAGAAACGAAACAGATTTTAGTGCCCTTATCTCAATTACCTGGATGTTTAAGTGTCTAAATGCCAGACGTCAAACACAAATTGCAATCGTTTTATTACTTACGAAAGGAACTCTCTTGAACACGGAAACAAAACTGATCATTCCTCAAAAAAAAAGAAAACAGTAAAATCTACTGACGGTCTTCACTAATCCTTTTTATACTAATCCGCAAAGAAAAACAGAACATACTACATTATTATTTTTACAGAAACGATAAAGATTATGAAAAAATTTGTAATTTTCGTTATGGAGCATATCGATATGGGAGACTGCGATACTAGTACGAACCGGTGGATAATCAAAATTTGGTGCAGACGCGACATCCTGGATGTAATCGACCCGTGCCTGGTTCTCAGGATGCTCCAGTTGAACAGGAGGTACGAGCGTGGACATGGCGCCTACAATTGACACAGAAAAAACATGTTCTATGTTGGACAGTATAGTCTAGTTGAAAAGTCGCTTTACTATTCGAAATTTCGGTCCATCGAAAACTAAAACGAATCAAACAATGGCCTATCAATCGGTTAATCTGATTGATGTTGCGCTTGACAAAAATTGGTGTAAACCAACCTGTTATCGTGAGGATAGCATCGCGAATGTTTTTCTTGATGTCGTCAATTTTCTGCTTGCGTTCGTCCTCGCTGAAGCCGTTGACGTGCAGAATTCGCATTTGTTTCACTATTGTGCTCTTTCCGGACTCACCAGCACCTGGGTCATGTGAAAGTGGACCCACACAGACACAGGATATAACAACAAAGACTTAGATTATACCCAAGTCACTCAAAGAACTGTTCTGCATGGTAACATGGAGAAACGCAAACAGAAGCTTCATGCGTTAGATAATATCGAATCAAGCGATTGTCGTTCATCTTTCGCTTGGTAGACAGTCAAGGCCTACCCATAGCACCACATACGATTCATTCATAAACATAGGGATATGTTCAGCATACCCTTATTTTATCATTATCCTAAACACCAATGTCAGCTAGAGCTTATCACAGATTTGGGATTCTTTTGAAGGTCCGAGCTGCGGTAGTTTGTAAAAAATGCTTTTGGCCAGACGACCGTAACATTCATTTACAAAAGCTTATCTAGGTGTCATCCTCAGGTTCCTTTTCTCAGCTGCTGTCCGGCTAATAACGATAAATCTATCATCATGTTTGTAGGATTTGTCGTTTGTTGAGCGTTGACTTGTTAACAGCTTACAAGGATACAACATTCCAGAAGTTCTATTCTTTCATTTCGACGATGGTAAGTTCATTTAGAAATGTCGATAAGCTGGCTGGAACTAATCACTAATGAGGATAGTGAGACAGCCATAACTAACGAGCACCATTTGTTAGTTCTATCTTCCGTTCGAGCCGTAACCGCTAAAACCGCACGTCAGTGGTTTACGATTGGAACTAGCAGAATTGACGAAACACTGTTACCATTAAAATTTCAAAGGATACGTCATCTAGCGTCATCAATTCATTAAACACAGTTTCGGGCGTACAGCAGTTTACGTAATATACAGTATCAACGCTCAGAAGCTTGAGATCTGCCTCTGAAAATTGATATTCTTCTCTTCCTAGCCGTTGTTTTCATTTTGCGTCAGAAATTTCTCTAAAAATCAATAAGCCTTTTAATTAAGCTTTTAGACGTTTAAGTGAGGTTGGCCGTTTAAGAAATAAATAAATTCGACTGAAAAACTTTGAGTCTCATCTTCGCGCACTTACCTAACAACAATAGTCGGTGCGTTGCGCGGTAGACCTGTTTGTCCTTCTGGATTTGTTTTTCGATCTTTTTGTTAGCTTCCTTGCGTTTCTTGTCCTCCTCGGCGTCCCTTGAGCCACCTCCGCCGAAGCAGCCCATCCTGCTGAGTTCGGGTGACGCCGGTGGCGAACTCACCGCGTCGGCTGTACGTTCCACCAGCGCGATTACCGAACGGTAAGAACCTACGTGGGGTCGCAACAAAGCGACCACCTCGCGGCTCTGTAAGCTTCTTCAGTCTAGTTATGACTGTTTTCCAACAACTCAGTCCTAAAGCAGGCAACTTACGCGCCTTTTATGCAGAGCCGAGAAGAGGCTAATACGTTGGTGAATGAATGTCGACAGGCCGAAATCTTCACACTTCGTTACAACCACCTCAACAGTGTCACGTATCCTTGTCGGTTACGTCCGTTTGCGCTCTCTAATCAGAGATGCTTGTCATCAAAGACGTAGCGATATTAGCAATCGAGATGTAACATGGTAGTGTAATCGGTTTTCGTACTTGTAGTAGTTTCAGTAGTATATAATTGAAACAACAACTAGATGCGCGCCTGTAATAGATGATTACTATCCTTACGATTAAGTGATTAGACTTGATTTCTTAACAGCGTAATTAGTAGCAGACGAGGTTCGACGTCGCCTATATGCCCTCTCATATGTTCATGCTTTTATCAGCACTGTCGTCCTATAAATAGGCTCGGTTAAACTGAACGATTATTGTTGTTGTTGTTGTTGTTGTTGTTGTTGTTGTTGTTGTGCTTGTAAACTTCTTTCCTTCCCTGTCGTTTTCCTACACAGTTAGCTTTTAGATAGCTAAACCCGTCGCCATTAGTCTGCACACAGTCTTCGTGGAGGTGCTTCTCCGTTGTCAACTTCGAAGTGTTGTTTTTTTTGAGACAAAAAATTTCTTTATCTAAAAGTACCACTAATGGTAGTAGTAGCGAAGTAGTTGTATGCTGAAGTCCGAGGTAAACATGGTTTACGACCACCAGCTCTGTGCTGCACTTCAGTCGATCACACTCGAATCAATTGCTGGGTCCGTCTACACGGCCGCTGACTCGCGCGCCTTTTCCCTCTCTTTCTTTTGCTCCGTACTTTGAGGAGCCGAAAACAGTTGCGGTTATTGTAGCAGTATAGAAGTAGTACTAATTAGTGGTGGTGGTGGTGGTGGTGGTGGTAGCAGTAGTGTAGGCGACCGTAATCGCTTTTACATATTCTCAATTTCTCACCAACTCTCGTCGCGTGAAATCAACGAGGTCGTCATAAGCAGCTGAAGAAAAGGAGGAATAATACGAAGAACGACGAGGTGACTAGTTAAATTTGTACAAAAAATTCAAAAGCTCTTTCCGCTGTCGATCGTCAAAATCGTCGTAATCATTGTACCAATCATCGTGAATGCGGCTGACGTTGTCATCATGGTCACAATCATCGATAACGAAGTTTTTGCGATCATTATCTACTTCGTCGTTAGTTGTACCGACATAATTATAATCTGTAGCATAGTAAGGCTTTCATCACATTTCAACAACAATTCCAATAACAATCAGTATTATATTTGTTGTGATGACTGTTACTGCTGCTGCTGCTGCTGCTGTTGCTTCTGCTGCTGCTGCTGCTGCTTCCAGTTACGGAAGCTGTGGCAATTACTGTTGCTAATTAGTACGAAAGTAGATCTCGTTAGATGACGCCGGTGCGGTTTTTGCGGTTCCTTTTGTTCTATACTCGGCATAAAACAACATGGACAACAACAACAACAATAATAATGATTCATGGATCGATGGATGGCAGTTCCTTTAGCTCAAAGTATCAGATAGGTTACTGACATAGTGAGGTACTAATATATATATATATATATATGTATATATATATATATATATATATATATATATATATATATATATGTGTATATATATATATATAACAGGTCAGGTTCGCTTGATCTGCCTCTTCTGACTAAACACTTATAACGAACTATTTTCTTCTCGGTTTTTGGCTGTATCCTTTTTCTGAACGTTTTCCTTCTTTGAATAGGTCTTTCTTGTTCGTCCGTGAATGTCTGCTATTTTGAATTGCAAGTTTCAATGGTCATGTAAATATTCGCTTGGCGGTTATCTATGTTGTTGTTGTTGTTATTTTAACTGTTTGTTTATAGATTGGCCACAAAAGGTGATGAGGCTTTATTATTGCCTGCTACCGAGCATCGTGATGGTGACGAAACAATTATCCGTACATTCGCTTTCCCAATATAAAAATTGGAAACGATACGGGCGTCTTGCACGTAGACAAGATAATCTGGCGCGCGGATAGTCCACAGTTAGTTTCTTTATTAACTAAGATCAAGTACATCTGCGGGCATTGCAGCTTGCTCTTTGAGCTTGTCCTCTCGAATGCCTTTTCTATATAGCTGCTATTACTGTTATTGTTGTCGTTGCTATTTTGATATCGTTACCGACTGCGGTGCTGCGACGACTGTATATTGGTTATCTGTTGTTGTTTCGTTCTCTTTTAGTCGACACGCCCAGATATACACAACTGAGCTGCTACGCCATGACTCTGCGCTGCCTACAATTAGCGCGCAAGATGCTTCAACACTATTCGCTTACGTCGTCTTCAAATGACGCGGATGCCATCAAATCCCGGGAGATGAGACACGATGACAGCAAGTAACTGTTTGTCTGGGTTTATTGTTGGTTCCATCCCGTCTTGTTGATGACACAGTGAGCAACACCGTCAGCGCACTCGATAACGTTGTCGTTCGATGGTGAGTTGCCGCGATGCTGAGCGCTTTGGCGACGCTCCGTCCGTTCGGGGTACTTTCCTGTGGATGGTTGGTTGATGCCTAGCCTGTGTGTTCCCGTACAACGCCAGTAACGACAGCAGAAGCGGCAGCGCGATCCCACGTTGCGCGTGTGTGCCAAGTCGCGCTCCACTATTTCAGGTCCAGGTAGCACAACACTAATGACAACGGAACTGCGGTCGTGTACTCCTCCGACCGGGCGGCGATTGCGATTGCTGTGCGGAGCCAGCGGTTGAGGCTGCTGCTGCTGCTGCTGTACGCTACTGGTGACGCTGCTAGTGATGCTGGGGCTTTCCCCTCGAAGGCGTTTGTCTCTCTGGAATGAAATCCCCAACGAACGACAACAGAGCCGAGGCGGCTCGTCGTTGTCGACGTGGCTGCCGCTGCTAGAGCGGGCTCGCTAACTAGCGCGCTGTCTGTTGCCGACGCTCGCCACAGACTAAACGCCGAACGATGACGAAAATACCAACAACAACCAAGAACTCACCAGCGCACCGCGGCGGCGATCGTAGCAACGAAAGCGGTCGGCCAATAACACGATCGAGCAACAGCACGCACGGATATACCGTCCAAGCTGCTCGACCTATCGCCGGGCCGTAGCGAAAGGAGACAAAAAAGACGGACATTCACCAACGGCAGCAGCAACAGCGTGAACGCGACGGACTATGACGCGAACGCGGGAGCACCACACGGCGCGAAAGCAGACGCAAACTCACACAGACAAACACACATACCCTTGACACTGCTGTGGCTCTTGATGCTCGCGCGACTGTTTCCACAAGAGACGCAGTCGTCTGGTCACCGATAGAATTAGTGCAGTAGCAGTGGCGGTAGTAACATCTAGAGTAATGGTAACCTGTTCGGCGTCGTTCTATGTCGCCCCGGCCCCGTTTACAGTGTAGTCACTTCAGCGGCGGCAGCAGCAGCAACGCGGGCCTTCAGCCTTGAGATATGCGGCGGTGCCAGCGATGCAACGATGGTCGCGCAATGACTCCGCCGTCAACGACAACAACAGCGACAATGACGCTTGATGCTGAGATTGTTCGGTAAGGGAGGTGTTGTTGAAACGCTGTTCTTGCCCTTCTTGTTGCTGTCGTCGCTGTTGTTGTTTTCCTGTAGATTGTTGAAAGCGTACGCCGGGACACGTCAAACACGCCATGCGCTAGTGATAATTGTCTAGTGCAGCGTAGCAAGACTAGTAGTGTTTCGAAGAAAGAACGGCGATTGGAGGGGAGAGACACCTGGCGAATGGAAAATGCCAGCAACGCTTACGTTTTACGGGGTACCAAACGTTTATTGTTGTTGATGCCTACGTTGACTGTACATCTTACGGCGAAAACACGTTGTATTTCAAGCACTAATAGACGCAGTTGAAGCACAAACGAATTCACACTGCTGCAATAACAACAGTAGCATTAACAGCGACCGATACGAACTGCGAATTTGTCACACACACACACACTCAGACAGACCACACACTCACGCAAAAACACCAACAACACGGCCAAACCGAACGAAGCACGGCACCTATTACTACCACACGGAAATGTTGAGTACCATTAACAGTTGCAATAGAATCGAGAGAGACTTTCGCTGGGATAATTCGCTCTCTCTTAGTTTAAGCTTAGCTTGTTGTCATCGAAGCTTTTGCTTTTTGTCGTTGATGCAGCAGCTCAGCTCGACCCACTACCGATCAACAGCAGCAACAAATAGACTCATACGTGGACGAACACAACCACGAGCTCGTGCACACAGTTCCGCCCGGCTAATAACGCGATACTGATAGGTGCCAAGTGTTAGTTGTTGTTGTTGTCTCAGCGGTGGAAGCAGCAGCAGCACAAGTCGCTCTGAGGGCTGTGTGGTACTAGAAGTCGTTCTGAAGCGTTGAATCGTCGAGTTGTTACAGTTGTCGTTCCGTTCGGCGCAGTGATAACATAACATGACACGGCAGCACCGTCAAGCCGCTCATAGTGTTTTGTCGACGGCGGTGGCGATGGTGGCGTTCCTGCTGCTGCTGCTGCCGCCGCCGCCGATGACGGGGTTAATGTCGTCGTTGATAGGTTGACGTACACCGACCGCGATGACTGCCCGCGCAGTACAAACTAGACTATTATTTTTTTCTGCCGGTAATAGCTTCTCAGCCGACTGGTAGGTATTATAATCTGTTTGCGTCCTCTCGTTTGGTATGTCTGTATATTTGTCTGTCTGTCTAACGGTCAACTTGTTCACGCCACGTAGGGGCTTGTTGTGGTGCTTATAGCTACAAGACCGCGTCACAACCGCGCTCCGGTCTCGATCTTGGCGTGATGCTGGTTTCTGAGCTCAGTTGTTACCGAGTCGTGCGACCACACGCCGCAGGAGTATGAAAATGAATATATATATATATATATATATATATATATATATATATATATATATATGTATGTATAAATGTATTGTCTGTGCGATCTTCGTCTTATTAGTTCCTTTTTGTATTACTACTGCAATTTTTGCGAGTTGTTACAGTAGCTACCATTGCGTTCTCGTATAGCAACCAACTGTGACGGCAGCGGCAAAACTTAGCACCGGCGATGTTTCAATTTTTCATCCAATTGTTGCTTAATTAGTCCGCTGATCGGTGATTTGAAATGCGGTAGTGTACAGTTCCGCCATCTCTCTTTATAGATCGTTGATGGCTGATTTCTTGCGAATGCTGTTTGCTAGTGTTAACTTCTGCACTGCGAATACAGCGCAGGCCAATGGTTGCGAACAATGTTTTGTGGCGTTGTGTGTACGATATCTCTTTGTCGAACTACGGCCTTTTTTGCTATAATAGATAAATATATACCCATGAAAATTCTCCTAGAGCCGTGAATCAACTCAATCGAAGTACGAAAACACGCAGAGTATAGGAAACACGAGGTGGTCTGGCTGAGCACTGATTTATTCAGGCCACTTATTCGTCATATGCTGAAATTTCGTTTCTGCTGAACGGCACTGAACGACGACGAAGCAGAAGACGCACTCTCAAGACGATCTGAAGTCGCCCGGTATGTCACGTATTCCTGTCACACTCAATCACTCACTCTCTCGAGCACGTTTTTTCGCCGTAGACTTCCTTCTGTGGCCGCATTCCAACTTGACAATGTTCCTTTAGTACCTTTTTCTTTACCCGCTCTATTTGTGATCTTCAGTCGGTCGTTTTCTCACTCTCAGATGTTTCATAAGCGATAAAGGACACCGCGGACGGAGAGCAATCGTACCCCCTACTTGACTCGCCCCTTAATTTACCACTTCAGTGCCTTGTAGCTGTAACAGTGGTGACAGTGGGTGTTCGGACGATGAGGGGGCAAAAGCTTAACGCCAGAGGGGTCAAGTATGACGACGATCGATACAAATGACAAGACTGCCACACGCCATGGACGTCACCAATGCACTATCATTTAAATTATATATATCTTACATATATATATGTGTATACTTGGATCTTTCCTAAGGACGATTCGTGTAAGAATGACGATGACTACCACAGATAGAATTTCGCTACCGTTGCAGCGGCAGTAGTCACAGCGGTACGAGCTATTGGCTCTTACAATAATTGTATTAGTTGTAGAACAGGATTATAGAGCTCTTGATCTGGGCGTGTAACCTGTAACTGTAGTATTCTTTGTCGTCTTCTTAAAGAGTAGTTATTTGCCACGTATAGATCGAGATTAGCGTTTGCCTGCGGTATATATATATATATGTATAATCTGTCTGTAAATTGGCAGCTTGGCTTGTTCAACATTTGCACCGTCGTAGCGTCGGGCTGGTTGACACATGTGCTCGTTTCTCACTCGTTACTTCGTATGGGTTGTGGTTGTGACTGTTATCCTCGCCGGTATTGGCGATAATAATGCTCGTATAGGTAGTCGCGTCGGCTGATCATAATGCTGTATCAGCAGTCATTTGGTGCAAACGTTGAGACACCACTGGCTGAAACAAACGAAAGCTAAATACCTTGCACTCGTGCTGCTCTTTTTTTTGCTGTTACACAAACTGAGTCGCGCCGACTGGTTAGCTGGCTAGCTGGCTGGCCGGCCGGCTGCCCCCAGCACGCTACAGACGTCAATGACGGACACACAGGCGCGCAGACACCGATTACAGCCGCCGACAACGACAACAACAACAACAACAACGACGACGACAACGCTAATATGTAGAGCGGCTAAGCTGCGTCCCAACGCAGACGACTGACGATCGTGAACCCCGACCAGTGCGAACTATCATCACTCTACTCTGACTCTTTGTGGTCGTAATTTTTCCGTAGTCACAGGAACGCTCCACCGGGACGTACACGGCGCTAGTTACTGGCAACCAGTGGGCATTATTATGGGATGAAGGTGACAGTGGCCGCGTAAGCTGACTCGGCCGTTTGGTGATCTGTGTGAGATCGGACGTCTCGGGGGCTGATGCAGGCCCCCGTGTCAACTCATTGCGTACGGCGCGAAACGCTACAACAGACAACTAGGCATCAAAAGCAGCAGCAGCAACAGCAGCCGAGCGCAAACAGTGGCCACAGACAGCGGGCCTGTTTGTCGCCTTCCTTGCTTTACACTGATTGCCTTCTTGTGATGCTGTAGATTTTGGTGATGATAAGCCAGCCGAGGCACAACACGATATGGATAATAGCTGTGATAGCCGTACCGGTACCACTGCTAATAGAAGTATATCTATACGTGATCTGCCTATCCGCGCGTGTGCCAAGTATAGCTTCGGGTAGTCGAGATAACGTTCGAACAGCGACACACAAACCTTCACTGCAATTGATTTGCTTTGCTTGTCAGCCACTTACTCACTATTGCTCCTTGTACGGCCATTCAACAGTACTGGGTCGCTGATGGCGGTTGCGACCAAACGACACAACTAAGCGACGATACGTCGTCGTTCGTGCTTTGCTCTTCAACGTGAGCGACGCTCGTGGTCTTCGACGCCCATTCACCGGTAACGACTCTAGTTGCTGACTCGTCGGATTCAATTGCAGCAGACGCTGCTAATGCTACTCAATTCTGAACACTGACGACGGCACCGCGAACTGCACGATGCTGTCTATTGTATTAGCAGCAGCAGCAGCAGCAGCAGCAGTAGTAGTAGTAGCAGAAGTTAAAGTAGCAGTTGGGTATTTCTACTGCTGATCGTGATGCTGTTTGTGCTGTTGTTGCTGCTGCTGTTGTTAGCACTGCCTCCGACTGGCGCTGTCTAAAGTTGCTTGCGTGCTGCTATTGCTGATGCTGCTGCTGTTGTATTGTACGAGCGATAGTGGAGTCGACCCGGCTCGACCTTATCGACAACCACTAACCCAACAGTGTGTCTAACTTGTATAAAGAAAATGATCGACTAGATTAGATTATTGACCAGTGCCGGCTATTGCCCAACTACTGCAGTTACTGTTCCTGCTATGGCCGGACTAGTGGGTTAGGCCAGGCGAGTTCTAGTACAACAACAAGCAGTAGTTATATATCAACAGTGAAGACGACGGCCGCGATGGTGGCTGTGCTGCTTCTACCGCCACTCGTTATAGTACTGGTACCAGTTGTTGTTGTTGTCGTTGTTGTTGTTGTTGTTGTGGTGGTGGTGGTGGTGGTGGTGCTACACCGAACGATTGATCAAGCGGCGAACACTCACTGGCGCAGATAGAAGTGGTTGTCGTTGCCGTCGTTGTCGTCGCCGCTGCCGCCGCCGCCGCCGTCGTCGTCGTCGCCGTCGCCGTCGCCGTCGTCGTCCTCGTTGTTGTTGTCGTCGTCGTCGTCGTTGTTGTTGTCGTCGTCGTTGTTGCCGTCGTTGTGTCGACGAAACAGCAGCGCAGACAGACAGGTAGGAAGGCAGCTTCAGATAGAAATCGTATGCTGTGCTATGCCGTACCAGCAATAAGGAGCAGGCAGCGATTGCCAGCAGAACACATCTTACACAGACACCCAGGGACACTCATAGACACACTCACACCCACGGTGCTGGTAGACGTAGCAGTGACAATGACGATGGTGATGATGATAGTGTCGTACTCAGCTAGTTTGTAGGTGTAGCAGTATTATTAGAGGCTGGTGAACTCTAGACGTTCGTCGCCTGTTTGGTCCACGTCGTCGTTTTCTTCTTCTTCACGATGTCGCGGCGGGTTCACGCACAAACAGAATTGGCCTCTCACCGCACGGGCCGAATGAGGACACTATGCACGTCGTTGGACGCCTTCGGATGTCGTTGAGGATCGCGTGTGATGTCGCGATGCGGGCCCTTGCTCGCCGGGGGGTCACTCTCGGCAGCCCAAGGCCTCGCTGGCGGCCGAAATCGGCCCGTTTTGTAGTGCCCGTCAGAAGAGAACTGAAACACAAATATGGCGGACCTCTTCTAATGGCTGCTGCCTCTGCCTGCCTATAGTATAGTCGTTTGGAGTGATCTAGTAGCAGCAGAGAAGGTGGTGCTGTCGGTCACTGATGTCTGCTCCTGGCCCTGCTGCTGCTGCTGCTGCTGCTGCTGCTGCTGCTGCTGCTGCTGCTGCTGCTACTACTACTACTACTACCGCTGCTGCTGCTGCTGCTGCGCTCCGAATGGATGCATCGCTGTCGGCGAAGGCCTTTAACGACAGCCGACTGTTTAAATGTCCCTCTCTTACTGCCTACCGCCGTTCACCGACAATGGCCGCCTATAGATTGCAGAGCGTCAACGATAGTCGGCTTGACCAACAACAGGCCAGTGCAGTTGTTGCTGGTGCTAGCCTGACCAACGAATCAACCAACCGGCCACTGGATGATTCAGTTAACTTACAGCAGCCAGTAGGTGCAGTATAGCTATTACTTTTCTATCTATCTATCTATAATAATAATACAGATAGCGGCCGTTGCTGCTGTCCCATGCCGTATTTTGGCGCGCCATGCAGAGATCTGGGAGCCGCCGACCTGCTTGCTAAATAGTGCTAGCGAGCGGCGCCGTGCACGAAAATGGGCGAGAAAAAAAGGTGAGAGCGAGAACGATAGCGTTAACGTGAGCAGCAGACACAATTAGCTGTACAGTTTTCTAGAGCAGAACTACTCAAGAACCGGCAGCAAAGTAGGTGACCAGCATACGCGTAGGTAAACTATCAAAGAATAGAGCAGCAGTGTAAAAGTACGTTAAGATGCAGTATGCAGACGATGCCTTGGTGTAGTAGTACTTCGTGTACCTCGATAGACGGATCGGTTTACTTTGCTCTCTCAGCTCATCAGTGATCATTCACTTGTAGTCAGCCGATAGTCGGCGTTCTTGTTTTCAAATTGATTCTGACGATCAGACACGACCCGGTCGTGCCCAGTCAGGCTTGGGTCGCCTTGTCCCATTCTGCTCTGCAACGTCTGACGACTCCTTATCAAGTCAATTGTGCGCGATGTTTCGATATCGCGAATTG